AGTGCATGGCACCTGTGCCTTTTTGCACCCTCTTGTCAGCAGTCTGTGGCCCCAGGTGGGTTTTGGGGGTTTGGGAATTGTATCCCCAGGAGCAGCTGAGCAAGCCACCCAATTCATGTCATAAGCTGAGGCTGGGGATCACTTAAAGGCCCTGTATCTTTTGAGGTTGGTAGAGTTGAATCGTAACAAGGGAACCACCAAGCCGGCTGGAAACCTTTCTTTATTTTTTTATTTATTTTTGTTTTGTTTTGAATGCAGGTTCTCACTATGTAGCTCTGGCTGTTCTGGAACTCACCAGTTAGATCAGGCTGGACTCAGAGGTCCACCTGACTCTGCTTCCCTAGTGCTGGGATTAAAGGCATGTGTCACTACACTCGGCTGGAAACCCTTATTCTAAGTATGATTTTTTTAAAATGGTTTGATAGTGATGTTTATTCTGACTTTTCAGAGTGAATTGCTATAGGTACCAAGTCAGTATCCAGAAGATGAAACAGAAATATGAAGATGTCAAGGCTAGAAGAAGCCTTCCTGCCAGAGCAGCCAGTTCTGGTCAGAAGTTACAGTCTTGCAGGTAGAACCCCCTTTCTGATATGCTGTAGGAAAGAGACATGGGTTTCCAGGGAGGGACAGCTGGTCCTTTATATGAAGGAACGTTAGGTCAGTGTGCCGTCTGTCACTCAGATCCGTGTGCCAATGAACTGAGTGCTGCTGTTGTCGTGGGTCAGTTAGCACTGTAGAGCAAAGCACTCCCCAAGGGACTGTCCCGTTTCTCCAGAGCACTCAGCATTTGGTCACGAGGTCTGACCCAGTGTTCTGATCCCAGTGTGCTGTGGAAACCCAGGTAGCTGTCAGCACAGCGGTAGCCACAGTGGAGGGGTGGAGACAGCTGGAGCGTCTTTGAGCTTGACTATTGGTCTCAGGTGCCAGAGGCAGGACTCAAAGCACTGGGGCCTGTCCAGGATGAGGGAGATGGGGTGCCCCGCTCTGATGGAGGAGGCTCAGGCTGTAGGAGGACTCAGCCCTGTCTTTACCCTCTTTCTGCCCCCAAAGGTGGAGTGTGTCATGAGCGATTCCAGTACCCTGTGCTCCCACCTGGTGCTGGAACGAGGAGTTAACAGTATAGAACTTTCAGGCAGGGTGTTCTGTCGGGGATCCTGTTTCAGACTGGGAGGGACTACACCTGTGGCAGGGGGTCTTCGGGAATGGTTTGTAATGAAATGAGACGAGCTTCCTGTGGTTTCAAATGAGTTTAGAAGCAGAGACTTGTGAATACTACAAGCGACCTATTGGGACAGAAGGCCCTACCCTGGTCTTGTGGAGGAGAACATGACTCCACCGACTGCAGCCTCCAGAATCTCACACAGGACAGATTCTTGCTGCTGTGACTGCCGGGTCTGTGGCACTTTGTCACAGTGGCCATGAGGCGTTTTTAGCAGGATGAAGAGATTCTCAGAAAAGTCAGTGTGGCTGGAGCCATGGGGCATGGGAAGACCACAGGACCAGGCAGCTATGTCAGATGTCACAGCAAGGTCTAGTATCAACCTCACAAAGAACCAGCGCCACAGTAGGAGGCTCAAACACAGCCCCTTTCTCGGGCAAGTGAACCGCCTGAGCAAGCAGGGGCGCTGTGAGCTCCTTGCAAAAGGTACAGGTGGGTCTAAGGAAGGCCGAGGAACAAAGAACAAAGACAGCTCGCTGTGACGACAGCCTGTCACTGAAAGATACAGAGACCCTGTACATGCGTCCGCCCCTGGGAACAAGGGCCACAGGAGCTGAGGCTAGGATAATAAATGCCTGGATACCCCAGGCTGAGTCCACTGGCGTCAGCTTGGCCCCTGGGATGAGCATGCTGCCACACTAGCGACATGGTATATGTATGGCATGTGGTACAGGACTCCACTTGCCATCCTACAGAGTTTAGACACCTGCCGAGGTCACAGACAGCAGAGCCACTTAGCACTTCTGCAAGAAGATGGGGAAAGGGCATTTAGTGGGAAGGTCAGACTGGATTCAGGAGACACCATGATGTCACCAAATCCCAGGACAGGCCACTAAGATCCCATAGTGGCCCATCCCAGGGATCTTCTAAACAGCAACAGGCTCATTTAGGGAAAGGAGAGCGCTATGGGCTTGAGTCCCACAGATTCTTCACCTGCTCGGGACTGCAGGACTCAGGCCCAGTGAGCTGTGGACACAGCTCCTTCCACCTGCTCAGGACTGAAGGACTCGGGCCCAGAGCTGCATCTATCTCAACATCTGTCACGCAGGTTGATTTCAGGAATCTTGGGGGGGGCTGGTTAAAATGTACCTTATTCCCCACCCCCAACAATAACTATAATGTGGAACACCGAGTGACCCCGAATTGTATTTTGTTTTGAGAAAGGTTCTTTTTTGTGGTTTTTCGAGACAGGGTTTCTTTGTAGCTTTGGAGCCTGTCCTGGAACTAGTTCTTGAAGACCAGGCTGGCCTCGACCTCACAGAGATCCACCTGCCTCTGCCTCCCGAGTGCTGGGATTAAAGACGTGCGCCGCTAATGCGCAGCTAGAGAGAGGTTCTTATAGTCACAGCTGGCCTGGAACTAAAAGGGATTTCTCTTGCCTCAGCCTCCTAATTGCTGAGATTACAGGTGTTGTACCACCATGCCTATCTTGAGTGGATGTTGTTAAAGTGTAGACATATTCTTCAATATTATTTAGTGATGTGCAGCACACAATGCCTGTCTGTGCTCTATGCGCTACCATACAGTTCGCGAGCTTCGGGCAAGGGGCTCAAGATTGAAACACACAAAGACACACAAAGACACACAGAGACACACAGAGACATGGATTTTTAGACACTGGTAAGAAGCCCCTTATTCAATAGCTCCATGGAGGCTTATATACCCAACAGTCAGGTGGGCCAACAGGTGAAAACCTCATCCTCTGATCCTCAAGGCCAAAGCAACACGTGCTCGTGAAGCAGAGCTGGTAAACAGCTTTGACACAGTCTTTAGTAACTCAAATCAGAAGGAAAATAAAGATCTCTAGCAGGGAAGAGCAGCTGGATGCCAGGACTCCTAATGGTCCCAACAGTGAGGCCTTTCTTTCATTCAAGGCTTAGAATGATGCTACTCTTGAGAAATAAAATTCAATTCGTTGAATTTATGATCCTCATATTTCTACCACCCAAGTGCTGGGATTACAAGCACGCAGCACCAGGAAAGATTTGTATGGTGCTGGCGATGGATCCCAGGGAAAGGAATCTACCAACTGATTTACAGAACAGCTTCTGCAGTTTTTTCCAATACAAGTCCTCACCATGTAGCTGGCCTGGAACTATTTACACCAACCAGCCTGGCCAAAACTCACCATGATCCACCTGCCTCTGCCTCCTGAGTGTCGGGATTAAAGGTGCACTACCAAATTCCACCCCACCCCCACTTAAGAATTTTAAATATTTTACGTGTATGGTTACTTGCCAGTGCAGTGTCCGCAGAAGCCAGAAAAGTCAGGGATCCCCTTGAACTGGAGTTACAGACAGCTGTTACCTGTCATACAGATGCTGGGATTCTCTGGAAGAGCAGCCAGTGCTCTTAAATGCTGAGCCATTCTCAGCTTCTCTAAAATATCCTAGAAGATTATATTAGAATTTGATTCAATAATATTCCCTTTCTGGGGCGAAGGGGTTTCAAGACAGGGTTTCTCGGCGTAGAACTGGCTGTCCTGGAACTCATGTGTAGAACAGGCTGGCCTTGAACCCACAGAGATGCACCAGCCTCTGCCTTCTGAGTGCAGGAGTGCTATCACTGTCCAGCTATAACATTTCTTTCTCTTTCATTTCATTTAACTTATCCCTTTTTACTGCAAAGGAACTGAGCATCCGGTAGCCATAATAATACTGTAGCAGTAACAGAACATAATAGATGGAAGGGCTTTGAGAACTTACCCAATCACTGTGAATGAACAGTATGAGAATACAGGATGTTCTCCTATAGCTACCCCCGTGACAAAGTATCACGTACTGCAGATGCATCCAGAAGGGTGGAATAATATACTCTTATCACTGTGCCCTGTCCTGTAACAGTTGCACATTTTTGCTCTTCAAAGATGCACATATTCTCACTTACGTAACTATCTTAGCATCAACAATATTTGGGATGAATCCTCATCACAGCTAGCACAGTAAACAATGTAGGTTCTTGGGCCATATTGCCTGCATTTCTCTCAGACCTTTCCTTCTTGGGCAGAACCCAAAGCCTCAAAAAAATGTTATTCTAGCTCTGTAAAACCAGTAGATGACAACTTTACTAAGGTACTGACATCCTAAATGACATATCAAAAGCAGTAATTTTTAACCACTTCAGAGTTCTATCAGTAGAGTACACATTTAAAACAAATGCTATCATATAACCCTCTCAATTCCCATGTAAAAGTCACTACTGTGGTGAGAATTACATTCACGTCAGCATGCCATCCTCAGCAGGGGGTTAAGGCTGAGTTTACTACGTCCTCTGTTTGCCAGCTGCCAAAACATGTGATTGCCCCCAAGAACATTAGCTCTACAGTGCTTCAAGTAGAAAGGGGCATGCAGATTCAGACTCCTGTTGGGGGAAGGCGCTGGAAGCATGAGTGTCCAGAGAGCAGTAGATAGGGCTCTCAACATCTGCTGCACACACATCTGGTTCTTTTCCCTTGACTCTCAGTATTTCAACCAACTCCGCCACTCTTCACAGTTCTAATGCACATCTTCCCTTTGCTCCATCCAGAAGGACCACCTTTTCCTGGTTTATTAAATTTATGATGAAAACTTACCTAAACCATTTCCTGTATAAAATCTAAGGAAAGACTTGTTGATAAGACTGAAATACAAACCAGGTGTTCGTGGCACACGCCTTTAATAATCCCAGCACTCAGGAGGTAGATGGATCTCTGTGAGTTTGAAGCCAGCCTGGTTTACAAAGTGAATTCCAGAACTGCCAGGGCTACACAGAGAAATCCTGTCTCAAAAAAACGAAACAAAACTCAAACACAAAATTATATTTATTTTGAATAATAAAAGCAACACAAAGCGGAACAGTCCATTAAATTTTAAGTATACACAATTTTCAGCAGAAAACTTATGTTTGATAAAATTTAAAAACAACACATCAGAGTTAACAGTATCCCACCAGCAGCTCCTACATAGCTGAGGATAGCTACAAAAGGAGAACACAGAATTGTAAACTTAAGAGCATACAAATTTTTTGAGGGGTGTGTGTGTGTAACTTGATTTTTTTCCTTGATTCTTGACTATGAAGTTTGTATATGACACCTGTTATAAATGTGGGGACCGGACTCTCCCACAAGTCGGAGTTTATTGTACACAAAACTGAGTGGTAAGTAAGCAAATACTACTAGCGACTTGACTGAGACCAAAAAGCAACAGCCAGAAGAGGGGTGGGGTTTTCAATCACCATTAGGAAGCTGAATATGGGATTTTTCAACGAAGTAGAAATCAGAGCTCCCTGGGAGATGGGCTGGTTTGGAACAGTCCATGTTTTAAGCTTTGCCATTAAATCTTATTTCTAGACTCTTCATCTGAAACAACTTCTGCCAAAAGACGAGCTTACTTACTCACCAGGCCTGAAAAGACCTTTGATTTCTGTCACTAGGCTCCTGTCACCAACACAACAGGGGTTGCCTTCCAACAAAGGCTAATCTACTAATATACAGACCAACCTCCTGGTTTAGATTTCCCTATCATAACACAGAGATACTTGCCATGGACCACTCTAGATCCAGTTTCTTTTACTTTATCCTGCTACGTAACACTGCTTGGCTACAAAATCTGAGGCTCGCAGAGCAGCAGTACTGGTCAGTTTCAATGGACACAAGATATTTATATCATCATCCGCCGTTATCTTGTCCGTTATTTCTTTCGGAATTCAATCCTCCGAGCAACATTCTGAGCTCCAAATTTTTTGATCAATGCATTTCTAGTGTCCTCATCATCCTTCTGCAAATCTAAGTCATCTTGCCGGGACCAGATTGGATAACCGTCAGATCTCTGACCCGACTCTAAAAAGGAGGAAGTGGCCTCCAGCTCACCACTGTTTTTCAGGAAGGCCTGTGTAACTGTTGATAGATCCAACTTAAACTTTTCCATTAGTTGCCGGATAATTTTGATGGCAGCTCCCACTTCCTGTGTAGAAACTTTTGGCTCCTCTTCCTCCTCATCTGGCTGTGTTTCGGAATCTTCCTCAGGTGTGGGAGGATCATCATCACACATTGTTATATGTATTTCAAAGTCAGGGCTCTCCCCCACCTATGAAGAATGAGGAAGAAGACCAGGTCGTATTTTCGTAGCCTTGAACTCCTGCAATACGTGTCTTCCCAACCATTCCCTGGCTCCTCACACATCACACAAGCCCCTCCCTTCACTTCCTCCCATATCCTTTTAATCATGCTGACAAGCACACATACATAGACATGGACAATTTATGGAAAGAGGCAAGTTGTGTACAACTATACATACATATTTAACTGATTAAAATATGAAATGTATGCATGTATATGAGAAAGCACGTATAACCTGTATGACATGAGATCATTTTTTAAATGCCGGACTTTGCTTCCAGATGGGTGTGGTGATATATCCCTATAATAAGGATTCCTGGCAGAAGGGAAACCCATAAATTCAGGACAGCTTTGGCTATACAATAAGACAGTGTTCCATGCAGTCCAGGGGGCCCTGAATTTACTATGACCTTTAGCTTTTTCCCCACTCTACTTTTTGAATTAATTGTTAATTTTTTTTTAGGTTATTTTATGTGTATGAGTATTTTGTCTCCATGTATGTATGTGTACCACGTGCATGCTGGTGCCCACAGAAGTCAGAAAAAGGCAATAGATACCTGGGATTGGAGTTAGATGGTAATGAGCTGCAGTATGGGTGCTGGGAACCAAACCCGGGTCCTCTACACGAGCAACAGGTGCTCTTAACCTCTCAGCCAACTCTCCACTCCACCTTTAACTTCTGTCTCCCTCCTTTGGCTCCCAAGTGTTGTAATTATAGGCATGTCCCAGCAAGTTCATTGAGATAGGGTGTCTTTTTTTTTTCAATTTGAGACAAGGTAGCCCAGGGTAGCTTCAGAGATAACATAGCCAAGGGTGAATAATAACTACTTTCTTTTTTTGTTTGCTTGGTTGCTTTGCTTTTTTCCAAGACAGGATCTCACTATGTAGGTTGTCCTGGCACTCACTATATAGACCAGACTAGCCTGGAACTCACAGAGATTCACGCGCCACTATGCCTGGTTCCATAACCACTTTCTTTTGTGTTAATAAGCTAGATCAATTCAGGCCCAATAAGATACTGGGCTAAAGGTTAAAGCACCTGCCATTAAGCCTGACACCTGAGTTGTCTCTGAAAGCTAAATGGTAGAAGAGGGCAGGCTTTTTATCTAACAAATAAAATTGTAGATGGGCGGTGGTGGCGCTCGCCTTTAATCCCAGCACTCGGGAGGCAGAGGCAGGCGGATCTCTGTGAGTTCGAGGCCAGCCTGGTCTACAGAGCTAGTTCCAAGACAGCTAGGGCTGTTATACAGAGAAATTCTGTCTCAAAAATAAATAAATAAATAAAATTGTAATACATTTTTAAGTGTTTTTAAAAAGTTAACTCAAAAAAAATAAAAAAAATAAAATAAAAAGTTAACTCACAATATTTTTATTCTTAGAGATAAATTATATTTATCTAAATATAATTTGGATAAAAAAAATTAGTCGCCATAATTATTTTACAGCACCTGCCTTTCTCAAAAGCTATTATTGTGGGACTCCAATAGTGTATTCCAAGACAGACTGAGTATATAAAAGAACAGAAAATATCTCCAAAGAGTCAGGCAGTGTTAGCGTACACCTTTAATCCCAGGACTCGGGAGACAGAGGCAGGTGACTCTCTGAATTTGAGACCAGACTGGACTACAAAGTGAATTTCAGGACAGCCAGGGCTACACAGAGAAACCCTGTCTCGAAAAACAAAACAAAATTTAAAAAAAAATTTCCAAACCACACAGAAACCTAAATGGTTAAACAAAATTACCAGTTTTTTTGAAAGTTAGATTTATTCTCCTGAGAAGCATAAGAACATTCTAAAGCAGTCAAATAAACTGTCGTTAACTTTGAAAAGCACAGTGAAATCAAAGTGTTTAAAGCAGGTAGTTTACACTGCTAAGATACAACCATTCTTGGGCGGACATCTTTAATCTCAGAAGAGGCAAGCAGATCTCTGTCAGTTCAAGGTCAGCCTGGTCTACCTGGATTCCAAGCCTTCCACAGCTACATAGTGAGACCCCGTCTCAAAGCCAAACAAAAGAAAAAAATAATCATCCCTATTCTGTGCAATTTTTCCTCTGTCACTTACACTATCCTGCCAAACACTAAAAGCTTTGTGAAGCCTAAAGCCAGATCACATCTAGTTTCTCTCCTCTTTTATCTTGAACTTCTTTCTCTTACTTAGCCTCGGGTAAAGGGGGAGAAATGAGTAAACTGAGCTGACGTACCACAGCTTCTTCAAACTCCTGACTGGCGTCCTCATCATCATTCTCCTTGGTCTCTCCCTTCACACACTCCTCTTCAGGCAAGTCTGGCGTTCTCTTGTTCTGAGGCTCTAGGAAGGAATAGCAGATCAGCAGGGCTCATCTGTACAGACCACCTCTACCGGTTCTGTGCATGCAGGTCGGCAGGGCTCATCTGCACAGACCACCTCTACCGGTTCTGTGCATGCAGGTCGGCAGGGCTCGTCTGCACAGACCACCTCTACCGGTTCTGTGCATGCAGGTCGGCAGGGCTCGTCTGCACAGACCACCTCTACCGGTTCTGTGCATGCAGGTCGGCAGGGCTTGTCTGCACAGACCATCTCGACCAGTTTTGTGCATGCAGAGCGTTTTCCTTTAGAAAATACCTGGTTCTTATTTGGCACAAAGAGCATAAGATACGCATTTCCAATAATTCTCACACTTATTTCCAAAATAAACCCACAATCCCAACACTCAGAAGACTGATGCAGGAAGATTTGGGCTACCACTTGCACTATAAAAAGTGAGTTCTAAGCCAAATAAAATAATGAACGCTCTGTCTCCTTCTCCTCTCACGGCCTGGTTCAGTCTGGTCTCTTCCAGATGCCTCTGGACGTACTCTCCCTCGTATCTACAGTAAACCCTCTCCTTCATACCTGCAGTCATCATGTCCAGCAAAGAGAGAACCTGGGAGCCCAGAGGCCAAGAGGCTGGCATAGCTAAACCGGCTGGGTTACACAGGACTCAGAGAAGCTGGGGGAAGGGTAGCCCAGTGGGCTGGAGAGGCTGAGGGCAGGAGGCCGGGGCTAGGGAGGTTTTAAAATTGTCTGACATTTGTCTCATAATCCAGTAAATGGGGAAGAAGAGTGTAAGTGACAACAGTGACCACGAACTATAAACACACAACACAGTGAAACTGGATGATGAGCACGTGCAGTGTAGCTCATCAGACTACTCCACATGTATGAATGTTTGTATTTCTCTATAGCAAACTGTGTTTAACATGCACAAGGTCCTGACTGACGACAAGAAGAGAAAGACGGGAAACCCATGTTGCACTGACATACCGGAATAAAAAGCAACATCCAGTCAATGGAAAGAAAAAGTGAGTGAGACGAAAAATTAAAATCAGAGAGCAGGGCATAAGAGAAAATAGTCCACTTTCACCCGGACCTCAACAAAGAAGGGGTTGAGCTATGCCAGTGGCGCCAAAAACGGCCACTGATGGACAGGCTGCCCAGCCCCCAGATTCCCGGAGGTGAAAGCCTCACCACCGCTATCCGCGGCCTCGGGGTCCTGCTCCGCCTTCCGCTTGAGCTTCTGGGAGGATGGGCTGACGGGGGCGTCCCCCAGCAGGTACTTGTGCTCCTGGCCCCGCAGGTGCTTGAGGTAGCGGTCCTTGAGCGACTGCCAGGAGTGCTGCGTGAGCGCACTCTTTTCCATCGCTTTCCACAAGGCGTTGCCTGTGACCGAGTTGGGCGAGCGGGCATTTTCTTTCACGTAGGTCAGGATGGCCACGTCGTCCGCATGCGTGTAGGCGATGCGCCCGGTCAGAGGCTGAGGCTCCAGCTCCGCGGAGCCCTCGGTGGAAGCCCCGGGCTTTGTGTCTGGAGCCTGCTCGCTCAGTCCCAGCCTGTATGCCTCCAGCTCCAGTCTCTCGTTGCGCTCCACACAGTCTAGGATGTACTGCGTGGAGATGAAGTCGCCCGAGGCCTCGGCCAGCGCCTCCCCGGGCTGGGCCAGCAGCACGGCCCCGGGCTCCTGCACCCGGCACACGGTGCCGCCACCGTGCAGGATGAGCGTCGACAGCCGGCGCTTGGCCGGGCTGGGCCGCACGTAAAACGACATAGCGCTCCCGTCTCCCCTCACGAACAGAGTGGAGGAGTGAGTGGGCCCATTGGGGTCTTTACCAAGATCCATCGCCTCCGCCATACTTGTCTTCCCGTTATAAGAGAGCTAGGAGATTGACACTCCCGCGGCGGAGTCCACCATTGCGCCTGCGCCGCGACAGCCCAGCCGAGGGCCGGCCCTCTTCCCCGGAAGAGGCGGGGCTTCGGGTCTTGACCTGGAAGTTGCAGCTCTACGCTAGTCATTTCTTTTTTTTTTTTTCTTTAGGTCGGGCTGGTGGGAAGATGGCCACGCTGCAGGATAGTGAAGTAAAAGTGGATGGCGAGCCGAAACTAAGCAAGAAGTAAGTGTCGCTGAAAGTCGTTAGTGTCTCTGTCGCTGTGGTCCGATGGGAAGTACCTGGAGGCTTCCTCCCAAGGCGACTGAGCCAGGGGCCTCTCTGCCCTCTCCGGTAGGTGAGCACATGTTAGGATGGAGGTGCGGCGCCCTGGAAACTACAGCCCCCGGAACGCCCTGGGGTCGGCTGTCCTGGCTGGTGGGTTCCCTGGTCCTGACTGTAGGGACGACCGTGCGGAGGGGAAGCCAGCGCAGATACTGGGAGGTGACAAGAAAGAAAAGTGAAACTTATTTCCCCTGTCTTTTAAGAAATGCTTTTTTAAATTGAACCACTCCCCCAGTGAATAGATTGGAAAATGGCTAAATGTCTTAACTTTTCAGAGAAGAACCTGTTGGATCGGGTGTTCGGTTCACGCGGGTCCGTGGAGGAAGCGGGGTCAATCTAGGATGGTTTTTTATTTTTAGCCTTTGCGGCCCCAGAGAAGTCAGCTTCTAGTGAACTGACTGACTGTAACTTCTCAAAAAGGCTTTTTTATTGTTATACAATTACATGATAGCAACTCAGTTTCCGCATACCGAACGCTCTTATCTGAAGTTTCCCAGAGAGACAAACGCCAAAGCAATTCCCATTCCCGGGACATATGTTTTCCGTGCCCTCCCACAACCACGGTTTGCATATTTGAACCTTTTAGGAAGCACTCAGATGAGCTAACGTTCCGGAATCAAGCCAGCTGCTAAGCTCTGTGGGCTTTTCTGTTAACAAGAACCTTAAACTTTTTTCTTGGCTTATCCAAGGTCCTTCTGCATCTTATATGTAAAAGGGGGTTCATTCTCAAATTGTTGCGCACCTACCCATGTGTGCCACTCAAAGGATCTGAGACTAGTGAGCAAGTGGTCTTGTTCAGCGGGATGCACCAGGCTCCCCTTTGCGCTGCTGTTTGTGTCCTTGTAAACCACGCCAGATCTGAGTGTAGGTGGATATGAAAGTTAGATTAACCTCCCTTTAACTGGCTGTTATAGAGTCTAAAGACTATACTTGCTCTAATCCAGGGTTCCTTATATGAACCACAGAACATGAGCAACAACTTGACTCTTCATAGGACCTGGAAGAGCTACACAGTGCCCTCCAGAAATGTAGGAAATAGTAGTTTACATAGTTTGTGCACCAGCAATCAATCCTCTTGTTGAGCCCTAGGGAAATTCTAGAGATATTCTACATAAGAACTGATTTTTCCTTTTGTGTCTAGGCTTCTGCTTTGTGTATATTAGAAGGACTAGAAGGATTTTAAGAGTAATATTTAGCCGGGTGGTGGATGGTGGTGGTGGCGGCAGCAGAGCAGCCTTTAATCAATCCCAGCACTCCCTGCCATTAATCCCAGCCCCTCGGGTGGCGGAGATCTCAGTGAGTTCAAGGCCAGCCTGCTCTACAAGAGCTAGTTCCAGGACAGGCACCAAAAACTACAGAGAAATTCTGTCTCAAAAAAAATTTAAAAAAAAAGAGTAATGTTTAAATTTATGGGTTGCTAACTCCCTAATAGGTTGTCAAGAGTGAGTTGATGGATTCCTTAAAGGAAGCTGGGTGGAGTTTATTAAATCATAGTTGACATTTTGAGTAATCAATGAAAGTAGCTCAATTTTTGAGCAAATTAAGAAAGTCTCACAACTCTTTTTTTTTTAAACTTATAGACCAGGCTGGCCTCAAACTCACAAAGATCCGCCTGCCTCTACCTCCTGAGTGTTGGGATTAAAGGCGTGCGCCTCCACTGTCAGCCTCACAGGTCCTTTCAAATGACTTTCTTTGCTCTTTTGAGCACTTTGACCTGTTAAACACCATACTGGCACTATACAAACTGTCTAATCTCAGTATTAATCTTCCTAGAGAAATATTAATGTCCACTTTTCAGATTTACAAACTGTGGTCCTAGGTGATTTTTTTATGTAAAAATGTGTGCTATTAGGGGCTGGGAGGGTGACTTAATGGTAAGATGCTGGCTTCCATGCAGGCTCTAATAATAAAAGTATATGTTCCTCGTGTGCCTTCAAGCACTGGTCTGAAGTGACACCTATGTCAAGTCTGTGATCCTCAATTGTCTAGAATAAATCAGGTGGTTTTTGTTTGTTTTGGGGGGTTGTCTGTTTTGTTTTTTGAGACAGGTTTTTTTTTTTCCTGTATATCCCTGGGTATCCTAGAACTCACTGTGTAGAACAGGTTGGCCTCAAACACAGAGATCTGCCTGCCTCTGACACTACCACCTGGCAAAATAAACCAGTTTTGATGTATGTTCTTGGATTATCATGTGCTAAAATAAGTTTTTTTGTGATTAACATCCCCTTCTTTTTCCTTAATTGTTCTTGAAATTTCTTGGTCTGAAATCTTTACTGAGGACCATTTTATGCCTGATACTGTCCTCAAAGTTTAAAACTAATGGGCTATCTCAAATCACTCATTCTCAAATGAAATATTTCTCTCCAAATGATTTAAACAAGTAGCGTGTGGTCCAGGTAGATCTCATGCCATCTAGTATTAATGATACGTAAACGTGGTGTTGTCTGAGGACCTAGCCTTTCTTTCCTCTTTGTTCCTAAAACTCTACACTGGTCTCTTCTATGACTTGGAGATGCTTTTGTGCAGCTGGTGCTTTTGTGGTTGTTTTATTTTCTGGGATGGGCTTTCATCATATTAGCCAGGCTGTTCTCAACCTTAGGCTCAAATGATCCTTCTTGTCAACCTGCTGGGACTGTCTAAAATTAGATGTTTTCATCATCAACCAGTAGCCAGTATTCCACACTGAGAGGAGAAACCACACTTCAGACCCCCACCTTTGCTTTCTATACTTTAGGATGTTGTGAGCATTTTTGTATGTAAGCTATTGATTGGCTTGCATTTGAGTTCTTAATCCAAGATAGAAGCTTTTTGGTTTCCATAGTCAGGACTGAGAACGCTGCAGATGGTATTCAGGAGGGACTGAAGTTCAGAGGGACACTTGGACGTTAGTAGAAATCATGGCTCCCCTCCTCAGAAGTGCGGGTCGTGTGGCTGTGTACTGTTTGTCCCCTCTGACTACACATCTCTGTTTCCTGCTAGGTGGTGGTAATCATTAGTTCCAGGGTGCGCTACCATGTTGATGCAAGCTGCTGTCAGGCTTGTTAGGGGGTCCCTGCGCCAAACCTCATGGGCAGAATGGGGTCGGAGGGACCTTCGACTGGGTCAACTTGCTCCTTTCACAACGCTCCGCAAGGACAAGCCACTTTCTGATAAAAGAAGGTTGGTGCTGTTACCTTCTTTATTGCTCTGGGAGCAGAGCCTTTCCTTCAGTGTCTGTTAGCTATCTAAGTCTTGGACAGGTTAAGAAAGCAGATCTCTATTACCCAAGTCAAGAATCCCTCCTAACTTTATAAGTTCAGAGTCCTCTCCTTGCAGTCCTTTCTCTTTTCTTTTTCATTTTTACTACTTTGACTATTTTTTGTTTATTGAGCCATGGTTTTATTATACAGACCAGGCTGTCCTTAAACTCACTATAATGAAAGTTGGCCTTAAACTAAAGGTCTTCTTTCATTTCCCACTACAGGATTATAGGCATATGCTACTTTACCACCTGGCTCCAAGGTTGGTTTTTTTTGTTTTGGTTTTTGGTTTTTTTTTTTCCCCTGAGACAGGGATTCTCTGTAGCTTTGGGGACTGACATGGAACTACCCAGCAAGCTTTTTTGTTTGTTTGTTTTGTTTTGAATTCACTAAATTCATATTGAAAAATGATACCGCAGCAAAAAACAATGGTGCATATCTATGTAATCCCAGAACTCAGGAGGCCAAGGGAGGAGAGTTGTAGGTTCAAGTCCAGCCTGAACAATTTAGCAGTCCCATTTCAAAATAAAAAAGGAGCTTGGAGATGTACAGTATTAGACCTTTTGCCTAGCACACTTGGAGCACTGGGTTAAACCTCCAGTACTACAAAACAAACACAAGAAAGTGAAGGGTATATTTTAAAGCCAGAGGCTGGGCAGTGTTCTACACACCTTTAATCCCAGCACTTAGGAGGCAGAGGCAGGTGGATCTCTGAGTTCAAAACCAGCTGGTCTACAGAGTTCCAGGACAGCCAAAGCTGATACACAGAGAAACTGTGTCTAAAAAACAAAATAAAAGCCAGATAGTATGCTAGCATGATTGACATGAATGATCGATGAATTCTCTTTGACTAATGAAGATATTCTTGAGTATCCAAATAAGTTTATTTTTCCTGGATTTAGATAGCAAGTTCAGATCATAAGGGTTACAGAGTTTCCCCCATTGTTTTGGTTTTTGAGTTTTACATAACATGTATGAAGTTTGGGTAATGAGAGACTCAATCAGAAATACATCCAAATCTGTCTAGTTTCGGCCCTGGAGGCAGAATGTTGTGTAGTAAAAGATACCCCAAATTCACTTTTGAGTGCTACTAAACTCTGGGATTCGGTCGTTTCTTTTTAATATCTCAGTCCATACAACTGGTGGTCTTATTTCCATTTTCTACATGATGCGTCATTTGCCATTCAAGTGGTTTAGTGTTTTAGAATTTAGCGTGAGGCAGTTTGACTACAAACATGGTACAGCATTCACTGTATTATGCTGTGTGGTGTTCTACTCTGGTGTTAAAGTCGGAGCAGTTTTATTGTTTTGTTTTGAGCTGGGTCTCGGGCTGGCCTCAGATTCACTAGCTGCAGATGACTTGTGATCTCCTGCCTCCACCTTCCAATACTGGGGTTCCAGGTGTGCAGCATCACATCTGCCGTGCTAGGGATCAACCCAAGGCTTTGTGCAGGCTGCACAAGCACTTCTTCAACTGAGCCATATCCCAGCCTCCAGACC